GTTGACGCTGTAAAAGATCAAGAATTCGTTTGGCAAATGCTTTTGACAGATTGACAGATTTGCTTCCTTATGAACACAGTTTGGCGCGTTAATGTAATTTCAAAACAGTTCCTGTATCGGTCACGTGACTTGCTGAAACCAATACGCGCACCGACGCGGGTTTTGGTCTATGGGCTTCACACATGCGCCGGACCCATCACTAGTGAAAGGTTAATCTTTGTCAACCACTGAAAAATAGATACTTGTGTCAAATCTTTGACATTTTTATGGTAAAATATTATTGAAAGCAGAATACCTTTGGACACTGATGCAACCATCTGAACTGAAAAGGACCTGCTCTAGATAAGGACCGAACTTTGCGCTGCTTAGGAGCCACACAAGGACGAAACATTCAGGCCAGCTAACAAATTTATAATGCATTTTTAAAGGAGTTTAGATGCTTTGTAAGCACAGGTTATTGCATTTTTTTTTTAGTAATGTACATGTAATTTGATCGTCACAATTTGCTGCTGCTTGAACGTGTTAATGTATAGTCTTAACAGCCTTGTCAGAAGTGTTGTGTATATAACCTAAATCAATTTCCATAAAGCCTCGTGTTTTTGTCACTGTTTATTGATGCAGAACTGTTCTGGCCAAAATATTTTAATACTTTATTATACTTTTGATTTATCTCTTCCAAAGTCCTCCACTTAAAGTAGGACTGGACAGGAAGCAAAGCTGTTCCTTTTTCTGCTGTCATTTTTATAATTTAGTTTTTTGCATAGTGTCCTAGTATAATTTTCCTTAGCCTATTTTCTTTCAACATTTTATTTTCTTGGAAGGAATGTAAGCAGGAACGTAACTAGACACTTCTAGATATTTAAAACTTGTGAAAAGCTTTACTTGGGCTCTTTTTGTCCTCTGTCAGAGCAACAACGGCTTTGCAGGTTGATGTTTGTTCAAAACATTCAGTTTGTACGGACTTCATTTGTTTGCATATTATAGAACATGTTCTGCATCTTTTAAAAGTCAGAGTGAATTCATGAAACTGAAACTGGTCATATTTTAATCCAATCTACTTTTTTATTTCACAAGTTGTGCAGTATTTCATTAAAAGCAGTTTTCCAGCATCTGACTTGGTGAAGCAAATGTCTTAACATTTTTGTTCTTCTGTTTTCAGGGCTTGGTCTGATTGTTTCCAGTGCTACAACAAAGTTTGTTTGTTCCTAAAAGGTTTAAGACACACCCAGCAGATGGAGTTCCCAGATAGACCTACATTGTTCGACTTCAATGGAGTCTCCATGACCAAATACTTCACTGACAACTGGGATAATATACAGAGCTTCAAAGCAAGGCCAGATGATATTGTGTTGGTGAGCTATCCCAAAGCAGGTATTAGAAATAGTTTTATCTTTGTTTCAAAGTCCATTTGCTTTTATGCTTAATTTTGCAACATTTTATCTAAATGTCATGTGTTTTATGGCTCTAAGGAAACACATGGGTCTCCTACATCCTGGACCTTTTGTACTTCAGCCAAACATCACCTGACAGAGAGAACTCGGTGCCACTTCATGAAAGAGTGCCATTTCTGGAGATCAGCATACCGGGGTTTCCCTCTGGTATATTTCTCTAAAATGTGACTTAATAGATAAATGAAATTCTATCTTATTTTGGTTTAAAAAAAAAAATACATTCCTTTACCAGGAGTGGATGAACTGAATTCAATAAACAGCTTTCCACGCATTATCAAGACACACCTACCAGTCCAGTTTCTTCCCCAGTCCTTCTGGGAACAGAATTCCAAGGTTTGTTTATTCCAAATACTGAACCGTCCATAGTTATCTTCTGGAAAAACAGGACACTTAGTCTTTTCAATGACCATTTCACAAGAAGGAAGCAAACAGGAAGAAGGATCTTTGACCATTTCGCTTTGCACAATCTCTTTCAGATCGTCCAAAGTCTTGAGTCCTCTCCTATTCTAGCTTCTGTTTATCACAGCCAGGGCTTTTTTTCTGACTTGTTTGAGTACTGCTGAGTATCGTGTATGGGTTAATTTGAACTTTGTGATAGCTTTCTTTTTCATAAAAATAAATGATATTGGATATTTCAAATAATTCATGATGCATCTAACAAGGTTCACAATGCTATTGGAAGAGAAACAGAATCACAGGTTTCCCAACTAATCAAAAAAATTTTAGCATGGGTTTATGGGTAGTTTCCCAAAGTGGCATCAGAAAGGGGAAACCCAATAACAGAAGATCAAAAATACAACTTGCTAGATTTGCCTTGAACAAATGTTCTGCAGTTAATTAAGGGGTTAGTGTCCCCTGGGTTGAGTATAGGCTCTCCCTGCTTGTTGCTGAGATTCTTGAAGGGGCAGCACTGCACTTTAATCCAACACAGAATCTCATTTTCTCATTTTAACTAGCTAGAAGGTGATAGAAAGAAAGACCCACCTAGGGTAACATGTTAGTACTGCCGCTGCTGCCAGCAAATTGGTACTTCTTCCTAATGATCTTTTACTATCATGCAAGGACTATTTGTTGCTTAAAAGTTCAAAGAAAGTTCATCTGACTAAAGCAAACAACTCTACAGGCCCAGCAGAGATTAGAAATTATCTTACATGGTTATGGTTTTTTCCTTCCACACTTGCCAAACAATCAGTAGGTATGTGCACAGCATTTAATGATGTTACTTAGATTTGGCGACCCCAAGAGGCTACTCATTGTTCAGTGAGTTTTATACTGCTTCCTGCTTAAATATACTCACATTAAAGTACCTTAAAATTAAAAACCTTCAGTGATTTTTAGTGATATTATGCTACCACAATCTAAATTTATTGCCAGACTCCTCTGCATATAATCTCTCTTAAATCTGAACTTTTTTTAAAAAAAATTTCTCCATAATGTTTATCTGATTGCAGATCATCTATGTAGCCCGCAATGCAAAGGACACAGTTGTGTCTTATTTTCATTTTGACCGCATGAATAAGGCCCAGCCAGAGCCTGGAGACTGGAACAGTTTTCTGCAGAGATTTGTGGATGGAAAAAGTGAGTAACAAACTAATGGGAGAAATAACTGAAAACACAAAGATAACTTTACTGCTTTTTATGTGACTTTCTGACTCCTTTCAGTGGTCTTTGGTTCCTGGAATGACCATGTGGGAGGTTGGTGGGAGAAGACAAAGACCAGATCTAACATCCTGTACCTGTTCTACGAGGATCTCATTGAGGTGGGTGGTGTGTCTCTATGTTTCATTTTATCAGTTTGTAAATGCAAGCACAGCATAAGAGGGGCTTTCTCTGGTAGGATACTGAACGAGAAGTCAGCCGGATCTGCTCCTTTCTGGAACTGTCATCCAGCACGGATCTGAAGAAAGAAGTAACAGAAAAGTCTCTCTTCAACAACATGAAACACAACAAGATGGCCAACGGTTCAGCTGATGAAGTCTTGGATTTCAAGATCTCACCTTTTATGCGCAAAGGTCAGCTGTATTCCCCCACTGTTTGCAATAAAAAAGTAATCAGTGAAATAGAGACTAATACCACAATCATAATTTCTCCATTTTTCATTTTAGGAAAAGTTGGTGACTGGAAGAATCATTTCACTGTTAAACAGAATGAGCAGTTTGATGAAGACTATCAAAGGAAGATGAGAAATACTGATCTCCGCTTTCGAACAGTTCTGTAACCTCCCAGTGACAGTATTACCACCGAACGCAAATAAAAACAATCATAAGAACTTAAGGATTTTAGGTTTTTATTTAAGTTCATATGTGAAAAGCAGCAGGAAATACATGAACAAAGAGTTCAATGAGCAAAGTAAACAGACTGCACTGCACAGGGAACATTATATGTATTTTCTATGGCACATACTGCTTCACGGGACAACCCTGAGGGAGCTGGAGGAACCACAGTAGCCATTTAGAGAAGTCCTCGTACAGTGAAATAATACCGGCTCATTGGAATGTCGACGGCAACAAAAAAGACGCACCGCACTGTAAAAAAAACTCAACAAGCATCTCACATCAGTAGGAGGTACTGCAGGTCAGACAAAAGTAATTAGAAAACGAGTGATGAATCATCTGCAAAGAGGAAAAAGGCATCAGGAACTAGACTTAATGACAATATCTTTAAATTCTTATTTGTCTAACAATACACACTGAAAATGCAACGAGAGCAAAAAATGGATTCAAAAGAATAAACAGACTATACACATGGCTCAACAAACATGTCTTATATGAACAGAAACAAAGCAAAAATCTACATCCAACAAATTTAGATTATCTAGACACTTTATAAAACTTGCAATAATATAACAGACCTTTCTATATTAAGTATCAACCCCAAAACTACCTGTTCATCTCAACAGGTAAAGTCATCTGCACAGCTCATGAGCAATATCTGTGCTCAGGTTGGAGTCTTGCTAGTTCAAGTTCACAAAGCCTGAAAGTCTAAAGCAAACTTCTTTACCCTGTAAGTTTAGTTCAAGATGCTAAAATTGATGCTGAAGAAAATAATTTATGTCTACAAAAGATGTTGTTTTGTTCAAAAAGTTAAGGACATTAAGTCTATAAATGTATGACTGTGAGCCAAAATTAAACTTTTAATTCATAAATCTGGTGTTATTTATACCCCAAAGTGACTGGATAGTTGCAACCCGATCACAGAACAGAGGTGCATTAAAAGCAACACACATTTTCAGGTTTAGACTGTGTAACATGTTTTTTAGTACACTTCCCTTGCAATATATGACAAAAGTAGTGACAGAATTTTCCATGGATAACTTTGCTATCTGGAATTATATAATCAACTAAACTTGGCTGTGTCTTATAGTAATCCACATTGAATTGGTCTGTAAGGAACTGCATTTGCAGCTAATTTTAAAATTTGATTATGCATGGTAATTTGGACTGATTTGAATATAAACTGGAAGAAACTTGACTTAATAAACTTGGATATGGATTGGAGATCCTTTTTATGACCTTTGATGGGAATTGGTTCTTTATAAGTAAATTTCTGGGTTTACATGAGGCAGAAGGACTGCTGATGACTAACAAGTCTATTGGCTAACTTGAGTACATCTGACCTACTAATTTATGTGTGCTGGCCCCTTTTAAATAAATTAGAAATTCAATCTAATTAAAAATAAAGGAACTTATTGTCTTAGGTAACAGTAGCACATCCAGTTACTGTGTTCTTCGTTTAGCAAAGTTATCAATGTGTGTGTGTGTGTGTGTTGTTGTTTTTTTTTTATTTTCTGACATTATTCTTGCATCTGAGGAAGAGTTGAAGGCAAATCCATCTGTCCTCCGACTTTCATCTATCAGTCAGTTTGGGGGTTAAAAACAGGCTCAGAATTGACACTTATGATACATAAATACTTTCTATCTGTGCAGAATTTTTCCTAAACTCGAAAAAGTATTATTTTTAAGGCAAATTTATTTGACTAAAATTTATTTTGCCGATACCTGTGAACTCAATTTAAAAACCAAAAGTCTGATTCACTCCAACCTGAGCTTTTAGAAATACCACTTAAGATTGTCCTTCACAGTAACAACTATGTTTCAAACACAACTTTATTCATGGACACTAGAAAGGACAGTATTTACATTGTGACTTGTACATTTAATCTCTAAAAGATAGTAGTAAAATACTTCAGTCTAAACAGGTAAGTGCTTTGTCACTGACTCAGGTCTAATAAGTGTTCTGAAGTTCAAGCCAAGCCAGTCCTGTGTGTTGCAGCCCTGCAAAGCTGTGCAGCATATAATTCAATACAAATGATCTGTTTAAAAATCTGATTCAGATTCTGCAAAAATGCACTCAAAGGCATTGGTTATTAACAGGTGGTACCCCACAAGCATTGTTCTGCAGCAGCCCAAGATAATAAAATGCATCAAACTCGTGGGAATTCAATATGGTATCTTAAACAGCTACTATCTTCAGCAGCATGGGGGGCTTCTCTGGTTGTTGTTGACTGCCTGTATCTTTATGTAACCAGCTTTAACTTATAAGACAAAACAAATGAGTACAACAGCGACAGCAAGATAAGAGCTTACACATAATCTGCTGCTGAGTCACCATGATACAAATGCTAAGACCCTAGAGAGAGAACAGCACAGGAACCAGTCATGATTATGTATGGCACATCTTTACATAACAAAAGAAGTTAGAAGAAAAAAAAAAAACTAAAAAAAATTTACAACCAATGATATGCTTAGGAATTCTTTCTTGGAAACAAATGGGACCTTTAACACTTAGTCACATTACAGGAAGTTGATCATTTTAAACCACTTTATTTCATACAATAAAAGGAGAATTACCACCTTCATCACTAATCTTAAGCACATCACACAGCTGCTAAAATGTTTCCTCGTCTAATATAAGTCTGGTCCCAAAAAAGTTAAACTCAGAATTACGTGTAAGTGTGTTTCCACTTTGCAACCCAGATCCTATTTTGTCGGACCCTCCTGTTTTAGCCCGCACGTGTGTTGCGTGTGTTTGTACTGCAGTGTATTAAACAATGTTGTTTATTCTGATGCTGACAGGATCAATGGAATAACACTGATTGAAATCTTCTTCATCCAGTATTTGGGAAAGAGGCTTAGGTCACAAAAAAAGCTGGAATTTTCTGCAATACATGTTTATTGATTTTATCACAGCCACTACAAATTATAACTTATGAAAGCTGCTCTAAACTTTGTCAAAATGTGCAACGGTGTCAAATTAAACAAGTCTTGTCTACTCAGACTTTACCCATATTTGGATCCGACCAGAAGAGAGGAAACCAAGCTGTACTTGGACATTGGAATATCAAGGTCAGTCGGAATAACAAGAATGTCTCCTAAAGTCGGAATTCCAACACTGAAAGTTGTAAGGCAAAGAGCAAACCTGCTGTGTGCATCCACATTGTAAAGGAAGTTACTGGTATAAACTTTGAACTAAGCTCTTCTGGATGTATGTATCTTATTAAGCCAGTGGTACAATAAGTGCTTTCACTTATCTACTTGTTAAAATGGTAGAAAAATAAAATAGAAGAGAAAAATAAAATAAAATAGAAGAGAAAAATAAAATAAAATAGAAGTATATTATCAGCTTGCTTTGCTAGTGGTAGATGTCACTAAAACAAATGCTTAATACCTTTTATTTTCCAACTTGCAACTAGAAAGCTCTGAACCTGGTTATGATTTCCTGCTCTGAGTTCCAGCTTCAGTCAGCTAGACCACCGGTATATAGCCCGGTGTCCTATGTAGTTATTTCACAGTGGCTACACTAACAAAAGAAAAAGAAAAAATAATTCAAAACTAAAGATTGTATCATTGAAGGAGTAAGAATAACACATGCTTAACAGCAGTCGGATGCCTGATTTCTATGTAACCTAAAATCAATTTGTAAAACACACATCACAGATTCAAGAGTTTGTCTCAAACCAGTTTTGTCTTTACAGATGAACAAATGCAGTCAGCGTTTGGTAGAAGTCATTTAATTTATCTTTCCATTAAGATTAGGTGATTCTATTATTGTATTTGTATATAAGCAGTACAAAACACTGAGATACTCACTATGAGTTGCTATTTTTCTTTTTTTTTTCCTACCCGAAGATTTCTTTCTACTTTTTACCCTGCTGATATTGCTCTGGCTCTAGCAGTGGAAATAATGGGAGTGAAAAACAAACTGTCCTGATTCCTGAAAAAGGTTCTTGCAGTGGAAAAACAGCGTATGATAAAATTATGTGAGTGAAAAAAAATGGAAAGAGCTGTGTGGGTAGTGTGTCAAACATGTCGTATCTCCCAGTTAGAGTAAAATCCATTCACCTGGTAAATCTTTGAAACAAAATGACTTTAAAGATAAAGGTGATGATCTTAATATCAATCACCTAAAGTTTCTATTAAACTGGTTCTTATTTTTAAGCCAACTTGAGGAAGTCTGATCAGATCTCCCCTGCATTAATCTGAAACAAACGTGTGAAAATCTGAAGTGCAGTCACTGGTCTTTATGTCCATTGTGTGGTTCAAAGGTCTATAATTTCACTGCTGACACTGGCAGAATCATCATGTCGACTCACTTCCAGGTAACTGCGTGAACCAACGGGTCTCCCAGCTCTTGCTCGCGCCCTTTCAGAATCTGGGGTGATAAATGGCCGAGTGTCATCCACGCCATCCTCACCCAAATTCCCTGTAGATGTTCTGGAGGGGCGAAGCGACACTGGGCAAGACACTGATGAGGGAACGTTGACCATACCATTCCCAGCCCACCTGTGACCCTGGTGGGATGGCGTGGGTGGAGCAGTCACCTGTCTGCTGGGTACGCTGCTGAGAACGCTACCCCCCAGAGGCATGGAAGACTCTGTTGGGGCTTCGCTGCTCTCAGAAAGCAGCTGAGGATCACTGTTCCTGCGAAGCCAATGCTCCTGGCTGATCCCAGAGCCCGGAGAAGGAGTCTGGATTACAGGATGAAACAGGCTCCCTCCTGTGACCAAATGTTCTCTGTGCAGAGCCTCGTCAATGCTGCGAGTCAGGTCAATAGGGGAGGGAGGCCGCAGGTCAAATTCATAGAAAGACAGAGATGTATCTCTGTCCTGATCCAGGCTGCCACTCACTGAGCGATGTGGAGGTTGACCCAGAGTCTGCAGTCTCAGCAGGGAGCTGGTGGAATCCTCAGATATGCCTCGGTCCTCAGGGTGGCCCCCATGGTTACGTCCATAGTTACTGTCTTTGACCAAGCGCGGCTGGGCCATATTCTGCTCATGGTCCTGGTTCCTAATAAGACTCTTGCTGATATCAGCTCCAGGTCGCTCTTGTCCAGCCCAGTTGTTCGGCACTTCTCCTGGTCCTCCCGCTCCCCCTGTTCCGCCTCCCACACCATTACTTTCAGACTTTCTGCAGGGTTTACCTCTCAGACTTTGGACTATCTTAGACCAGCATGTATGTCTTTGAGGGGAACCAACAGACTGACCAGGAGTTGGGAGATCCACTGTGCTGCCATCCTGCCCTCCTTCCTCCCTTGCCCGGCAGGTGACAGGCCTCCAGAACACCCAGGATCCCATTAGTAGCAGGAAAAAACCCCAGGTTAGTTCCAGCAGCCGAGCCCAGAAATGCACCAACCACCACCCCCAGCTGAAACGCTTCCAGTCTCCTAACAGTCCATAGAGCCACAAGGTAGCGTGGACATGCAAACCACAGCATAATGCTCCAAGAACTGCACAGACTGCCAGCACTCTTCCCAGAATCACTGCTGTTTTTTGGCTCCCCGTCCAGGTCTTCCTCCTTGCCTCAACAGGAACACTGTGTTGGGGAAGAGCAGGGCAGCGTATACGTGGAAATACATAGCAAAGATAGCCCAAACAGATACCAAGGCCCCAACATAGGGACAGGACCTGTAGGGTTACTGGTACTACAGGAGACAGAGCTGGAGACAACAGATCAGCAGCTAACAGTAGTGTACACTGCAACACAGTAAGCACAGCCACCAGAGGGGGGTGCTCTAAGGTTGGAGGTAACACACTGACTCCTGCCACCCTCAGTGCAAGAAGTACTAGGGACGCCTGGGCCCAAACCAAGAGGTGAAGAGGCAGGTTGTAGAGGGCCGTAACTGCTGTGCGAGGGAAGATGCCTCGTGTCCTATAAGGGTCGAAGAAAAACAGAACTGCCCTGAGGCCTCCAGCCAGAAACAACAGAGCATTGGCAAGTCCAAGAGCCCCGCGATGAGGACAGTTCGCTCCGGGGGACAGAGTCAGGCCGAGGGCAGCTCCAGCAAACAGGAGCAGGAAGAGGCTTGCTGTGCCGTAGACATGCAGTTCCCAGGCAAAAGCCAACGTGCGGCTCAACTCACCCCAATAAAGAAGTGTGCCATTCGTAGAGGGAATGGCACTTGGAGATGGGGCTGGATTAAAAGTGGAGTGTGGAGCTTGCTGTGGATATCCCAACAGAACAGAGCGGTTCCTCTCGTTCTGATACGTGGGGCCAAATCTGGGTCGGATCACAGGAACAACACCGGTTGTAAGAAGTGAAGAGTCCCCTGAAAGGTAGAACATGCCTATGATTAGTATTTTCTTTTTTTATCACAACAGACAAATGTTCAACTATCTTAAAGTAGAAGGAATCAGTGAAAGAGCATGTAGTACCACTGAGATCCACTAGAGGGGTGCAGCTCACCATCATAGAATAATACATCAGTGAATAGAAACTAAGATGCACTGCTAAAGGTCTGTAATGCAGTGGTTTCAGAAAGTATTCATACCCATTAGTTTTTACATTTTGTCACATTCCGACCACAAACTGCAGTGTGTTTTAAGATTTTTATGTGAGAGACCAAAGTAGTAAAAAACAAAAGCAACAGGAAAACAAATTTTTTTCAAATTACTTAAAACTCTGAATGGGGCTAAAACATGCATGTTATTATAATATCCATAAATGCACCCCAGTGCAAGCAACCAGCTGAAGAATCCATCTAGTAAATACTGTAGATATGGGTAATTTAATCGCAGAATAAATCAAGCTGTTATGTGTACGCCTTGGAGTGTTTTTTTTTTCTTTAGAGAACATTAATGATCAAACAGCATTATGAAGACCAAGAAACACACTGGACAGGTAAAAAAAAGATAATGCTGTGGATAATTTGAACTAAATGCATAGAAGTAGGACTGTAAATAATGACTGTTTTAGAAGTTATTTTATGGATTATTCAGACGGTTAATTGCTTAATCGGATTTTAAAAATTGGCAAACTGCTGATTTTTCATTGAGCCTTTTTATACAATATTAGGAATGCAAATATTTTTTTACAGAAATTGAACCAGGTGAAGGCAAAACTTTGGCCCTTGAGAAGTTTTGGGTACAACATATTTACACAGATGAAGTTTTTTTTTTTTCCATACTAATAGTGAAATGTATAAATGTTTTGTACAGTTTTGGCTTAATTACTGCTCTCAGTATGTTCTTTCAGCTAACTGGCTTCTTTAAGTCTATACTCCACTTAATGATTAATTGATTACTAAAATAGTTGACCATTATTTCAATAGATTGGGGTTGTAATGCCACAAAAGCTTAAGTAGTATGTACTGAGAGGTCTGTAAAAAAAGACACACCGTCATCATACTGTAAAAACCATCTCTAAATAAATTTTAATGAATTTGCATCAACTAATTTTTCCCTCCTTCTTGGTGAATATGGTGTTTATATCAGAAAACTATATTTGGTCAAATAAGAAAATTCCAAACTTTGACCATAGGTTGTCATTCTGAGCAAATAACCTTTAGGGCTTGTATGATGCACTAAAACCAACCACGAAGGTGGCCAGCTGGAATCACTGATGAATTAAATTTATTTCTGAATTCATTTGGTCATTCTTGCTAGTAAGAATAGTTGAAATTCAGAGTAACTGTGTGGCTTAATTGAGATTATACAATTAACAAGAACATCTTTATTAAGCAGCACAGCACAGTGTCACAATAAATTTATATCAGGCAAGCTCTGCTCAAATTCAGAGATTACCAGAATGCCACATGGGACAAATTTGCTTCTCTCTGTTTATAATTTGCTCATTATGACGCAGGCTCCTGTTTGCACAGAGCTCATAACTTTATCCAACTGGAAGAACCTGGAAACACCCAGTTGTATTATGATCATATTCAGTGCTAAGATTTCTTCTAGTTTTCATTTTAAGGAAAAACACAAACAGAAAACATAGCCATGAGAAAGGTGATCTTATGAACTTTAAGCAATAGGATATCCGTCTTGATGACTTCATTGTAAGTCATCTTCAGCCATTTTTAACAATAAGAAGATCAGTGGTAAAACTTTCAAACCTCTAGTCACTTGAAGTACTCTTTACCTCCATAAAACTGACAGAGTTATAAATGACTCACTCCCACATAGGTTTCACCCTTTATGTTCCCTCCCTCCTTCCATTGACGCACTCCTGGGCCTCACAAAGTAAAAGCGCTTTGCATACACACGCTTCTTTATTTACATAAAGGTATGTTTTACTTCCTTCAACATTTTTTCACCAAACTGGGATGAGATCCAGACACATTCCAGATGTGCCGATCACATTGCACAGCTGGGCACACTTAGGCTCACCTCAACCTTTTTGTTTTCTCTTTAAAACTGGCACTTTCATCATATGTCAGGAAAGAAATAAAATATCAAATGACCCTGTTAAAAAACTAGTTACTGGTAGGAAAATTCACACAAAAACTAATGCTATGTTACCATACCAAAGCATAGCAAAGCATTGGTTGAAAGTAAAATATATATATATTTTTTTACCAAGATTGTTGTGACAACAGACTGAGAGACTCTTTTGATCATAGTAATTCCACCAATTCAGCCTTAAAAAGGGCTGGAAAACCTTAGCTTATAAAATTTTGGTAACATTCTGGACAAGGATACTTGAAATCTCTCAACAAAGCATAAAATCTAAACTTGGTATAAGTCACATTAGCTCTTCTAACCCTACATCCCTTGGTATTAATTCCAGAAGTGGTTAAAATATCGCACTGACAAATAGTACAGTCCTTCAGTAGGGTGGAAATGACATCAGTTTACGTTGTTTATTGGTCTGTTAAATCGTACAGGACTTAATATGACTGCATACATCACTTATTTATCCTGTAGCAGACATGATAATATTTACTTTTTATGCAATTGTCGTGCTAATCAATGAGAAACAAACGTTCTACCACATGTAAAGCATCCAAAAACATGGAAATAGACATTACACTGGTCTTGTGGTTATATATATATATATATATATATATATATATATATATATATATATATATATATATATATATATATA